AACAAGAAGCAAGACTGTGGTCTGACTGTGGTCAGAGAGCCAAGCGCCTCATGGAGATCATAGCGCAGCCTGCTTCTGCAGAGAGTCTGTGTTCACCAGCCACGGTGTCACTATGTCCAGTGGGGTTCAGTCCCTGGATTGTTTAGTGTCTTCTCACTCAGGCCCCATGTTCCACATGACTGGAGTTTCAGAGCAAGTAAGTCACTTGCCAAAGGTGTAGGGAAAGTTGGACTTGAATCCAGGCTGTCAGAACCCAAAGCTCCTGATGCTGTCCTCTCCAGTTAGAGGAAGGCTGGCTCAGTGACAGAACAGATCTGGGAAAAGGCTGTCACACAGCATCAGGAGCTAGGCCTGAGACTTTTAGTATCATCTGGAAAAAGAGCGGATACTCCATGGCCTTCCCACAAGGTCCCTGAGAGATAGCCCAAGCTGGACAGGACCTTCATGAAGCCAATGGATGCCAGGCACTGATGGCTTATTCTATAATCTTATCTACTCAGGAAGCTGAGATTTGAGCATTATGGTTTGAAGCCAGTCCAGGCAGGGAAGTCTATGAGACTCTTATCTCCAATTTACTACCAAAAACCTGGAAGTGGAGCTATGGTTCAAGTGGTAGAATCCTAACCCAAGCAGAAAAGCTCAGGGACAGTGCCCAGGCCCTGAGTTCAAGTCCCAGGAGCAGCGTGTGTGTGTGTGTGTGTGTGTGTGTGTGTGTGTGTGTGCGCGCGCGAGCGCGCGTGTGTGTGGTGCACACACGCACACACACACGCACACACACACATACACACACACACACACACACAAAGCCAATGGAGGCCAATGGATGTTGGGGGAGGGAATTTAGATCATGAACTTGAAGGAGAAAGGCAAGGTTATTAGTGACATCCAAGGGTACTAGTTCTTTTCTGTGATACATCCTGAGACACAAGTCTTTGGCCCTTTTACCCATTCTTATGAAATTTTGTTTTTAATTCAAAATAAACTGGGAATGGATATAGTTCAGTGATAGAATGTTTGTCTGGCATATGTGAGTTTAACCCCTAGCACTGCAAAAAATAAACAAACTGGGATAAAAGAAGTAAAAAGAAGCGGAATGTAATAGTGCACACCAGTAATCCTGGCACTGGGGAGGCTGAAGCAGAATTGCAAGTTGGAGGCCAGCCTGGGTTACAAGAGAATTCTAAGCCCCATGAACAGAAAAAGAAAGAAAGTGTTTTACTCATGCCTGTAATTATAGCTATTCAGGAGGTTGAGATCTAGAGAACTGCAGTTGAAAGCCAGCCAGGACATAAGAGTTCACTAAAGGGGCTAAGAAGGTGGCTCAGAGGCAGGCCTCTCATGTATGAGGCCCTGGGTTCGATTCCTCAGCACCACATAAACAGTAAAAAAAAAAAAAAAAGGCCGGAAGTGGCACTGTGGCTCAAGTGGTAGCCTGCTAGCCTTGAGCTGAAGAGTTCAGGGACAGTACCCAGACCTAGAGTTCAAGTCCCACAACTGACCAAAAAAAAAAACAAAAAAAAGAGTTCACTAAACTCCATCTCCAAAGTAACAAGCAAAAAGTAGGGCTGGAATTCAAATCCCACTACTGCAGGGAGTGTTTGGGGGGATTGGAGCAACAGGAACATCTGTCCACAGCTGCACCCTGGCTTGGCCTTACTTCCCTGGGGGGATAGTAGCTCCTCTGCCCTCTCTGAGACCCAGGAGCCAGCTTTGCATGGCTACAATCAGTGGCCACAGCCATCAAGAGCATAGAACTGCAGTTTACCTTCATGTTTCTGGTTTGGCTCTGACTTCCTCTAGCAAGAGTGGAGGCACAGTGGGGGGAGGGGAAGATTTCCACTTTCATAGCCCTTATTCCACTCACACCCAGCATGTGGCAAGCTCTCAATGGTTCTGAAGCGCCTCTAAGAGGTGAACTGGGTCCTGACCCTCTTCTGTCTTCATGGCTCCTTTTCTGCCTTGAGAATAAAATCCAGTCTTCCCAAATGACCCCTTAGATCTTGCTCATCCTGGCCCCTTCCTACCTTCCTGGTCATGTCATCTCTGTTGGGACAATCCTTTCCTCTCCTTGAAAGTATTTGTTCAGTCTCTCCTCCAGGCTTCAGCCTAAACTTCTGGGAGTTCCCTACCCAATCACAACCAGATCCCCACTATTGGTTCCTCTCTCAGAAGCATGAAGTCTGTGTAGGATGGTTTGTTTGCTTGGCTCCTTCAATCCAGCACCTCACCAAATGTTTACCAAAGTACAGATTAGATCAAAGAGGAGAAGGACATCCACAGGTAACCTCATCCTTCTAAGCTGATACTGCTATTGAGCAACAGAAAAAATAAAGAGATCAAGTATGGGTTGATCACTTTAGTTGGCCACAGAGAGGCCAAAAGGACACAGCCTGGGGGAAGCCCCAGACTGAGATGTCAGTATCCACAGCAGAGGGACTAGGGAAGCATCCAGCCGCGAAGTGCATGAAATGCCAGGACCTGGCACCCCAGTCCATCCGTCACCCAGCACCCCTCCCCCGTGTCTTGTGGTAAGGCAAAACAAGCTAAGGAACAACAGCTATTTTCTTTTTTTCTCTCACCTCACCAAGCTGAAATCTAATACCATGTCTGGAGCCCAGATTCTGACCATAGTCCTGACAAAGAATTCTGGGAACCTTTCAACAGGTTCAGGCAAATTTCCTTTGGAAAACAAACAGCATCAATCTGAAAAGCAACAAGAAGCTGAGGAATTTGCATCAGCTATATACTGGTCAGCTCTTCAAAATTCTAATTCATGGGGTTGGGAAGATGGCTCAGTGGTAGAGTGCTTGCCTTGCATGCATGAGGCCCTGGGTTCTATTCCTCAGTACCACATAAGCAGAAAAAAACGGAAGTGGGGCTGTGGCTCAACTGGTTGGATGTTATCCTTGAGTTGAAGAGCTGAGGGACAGTGCCAGGCCCAGAATTCAGGCTCCATGACTGACAAAAAAAAAAAAAAATCTAATCCAATATATGTAATAAATGACCTAATTGCTTCTCTGCAACTCAGCCATCCAAGTTTGATATAATATTAGGCCTGAGTTCAAACCTTGACCCAAGCTTTACCAGGAACTCACAGTAAGTGTAACAAAGGGGCTTCTAGCTCCAAAAGACAACAGGTTAGATGGATTCCAAGAAGCAAGGAGCAGGGAAGCCAGGGAGATAAGCTGTGTAGAATCAGCAGGCTTTCCCGCTGAGCATGCTGATCAGCCAGTTTGCCAGATAATCAGAAAAGGCAAAATCAAAAGCAGGAGCAAAGGCATGGGATAAGAAGTTGATGTTCAACCCATAATCCTGACCCTTCACCTTCACTTTGGTTTGTAGGAGTGACCTGTCAAGTGTCTCCTAGGCTTAAATACTAACTCAGCGCTGTATTGGCATAAGCTCTGGAATCACTCCTACCCAAAGGAAGAAGCCAAGATTTTTGGAAATTAAGTGATCACCAGGCCACTTTGGTTAATATCATATAATAAATTATATAAAAGGACAACCCATGAAAATAAAAAGTCCCTACAATTTGACTTTCCCAACACCAGAATTAATTTTTTTTTTTAACCAAAACAGTCCTCTAGTCCAGGTGAGATACTAAAAGCTTTGTCTAGGGATGGCATTTTTTTTTCTTTTTTTGTTTTCGAAACTCCTCATGTACTCTGAAAGAGAGGAAGAGCCAAACACTCTAACCTGTTCCTTCCAAAAGAGTCATTAATCTCCTAACATCTCTTGGATAAAACAGAAAGCTAGATCAAGGAACAAGGTCTGACTCTCATCTCCCAAGATTTCTTGCTGATGTGGGGAAAGGCCTGCCAAGAACCCTTAGGCTGTTAGGAAATGTTTTTGAGTGGCTAAAGGCTAAAGGTTGATTATAAATGATATACTTTCTGCTCTCTCCCAGGCAGCCTCCAATTCCTTCCCTTTCTCCTGCCCTTAACCTCTCCTGCCAAGTCTCCCTAGACACTCAGGAATCCTCTGAACTGAAAGGAAAAGGGAGGATTACAGGCAGCAAAAACCAGTCTAAAGCTTTTTCTTCTAAGAAAACTAGAAATAAAAGGCATTGCTGGGGGTGAGTCAGGGAGTCAGCGTTGGACTATCTCCATCACAAGGGAATCAAGCACTTGGGTAGATTTTGAGTTCAACTATTACACAGCCTCTGCTGGGGACAGGGAGATAGCGAAGGGAAGCCTTTCCTACCCAGTTGCCTTAGCAGGAGGATAGAGTTTAGGAACCAAGTTAACCTTTATGGTGGGCTTTTCTGCAGCAGTTAAAGTGGGAAGGTGCAGGGTGGTCAGATTTCATGTAGGCAAGCATCCTCAGCCTGCCTTCAGCAATCTGGAGGTACAAAAAGAAGGGAGCAAACCTAACATCATTTCCCTAACTGTGCCCTTCCTCTTCCTGCCCCTAGGGTTGGAAGGCCACTGAGGTGTTCTCACAGTTTGTGGAAAGAAAGGACCTTTGGAGAATCATAAAGCAAAGCAAAACAAAAAGACAAGAAATTATGTCTGCAAGCCCTTAGGAGACTCCATAATGGCCTGATTGAAAAACATCCTTGGGGTGGAGGCAAAGCCACTTCCTCCCTCTTGCCTTACCCCAGGCCCCAAATCAAGAGTTCCTCTTTCTTACAACCAGGGAGCAACATGTTTATTGCAAGACAAGCGATATTCCAGGCGGCTGGCAAACAGAAGTCCAGCAAGGAGAAAGAACTGGATTTGGGAGTTTGGGGATCTGTCACAGTCCCCGGATCCAGCAAACCAGAAGAGTCCAAGCCTCTTTTTCTTCATCACAAAACGGGGACGAGGATATGATACCAAATAGAGCTGGGTGAGGATCCAAAGGGCCTTTGGATACCCGGGAGCACTGCGCAGTGATGGGGATTGCTGACTGGGTCTTGGCCACCATCCGCCCTCTCCCAAAGCTCCCCTCGAGGAGCCAACCTGAGCGCCCCCTCCCGATCCCCCCCCCCTCTCCCGCCCCGGTGCCCATCTTACCTGGCTCAGTACACAGGTAGGAGTAAAAGCCTTCCGACTTGAGCATGATAAGCAGTGAACCCCAGCCCAGGAGGACTGCCGAGAAGAGGAGGTTTTCCAGCACAGCAGTGCAGGCCATCCACCAGCGGCGCCGATGGGCAGTGGCCAGGGTGGGCGCCATGGTGCGACGCGGCGCGGCTGCCCGGCTCCGGCTCTGCGATCACCTGCGCCAGACCCCCGCGTCAGTGCCCGTCCTGAACAGCCCGCACCGCCACCCCTGGCCGCTGCCTGAGGGCGCCGAGCTTGTCACCCTTCCTCGGCCCCCGCTGTAGGTGTGCGCAGCGAAGTAAGCAAGCCCCAACCCTACCCCGGACCTAGGACGCCCCCGAACCCGTGGCTGGCTCGTACCGTTGCCCTCAGCTACGCTGACAAGGAAGGAAGACTTCTCCCTCAGCTGACTCCGAGGTAAACTGAGGCAAGGAAGCATGAAGAGATTAACGCATGCTCAAGGACGTGGAACTAGTCGTAGACCCAAGCAGGATGACATAGCTACGGTGGGGGTGGGAAGCGGAGGCAGCTTGAGATATGGCCACCTGGGCAGGGGCACACCTGAGAGCTGCCACTCCCAGGGACCGTCAGAGGCTCTCTCCCGCCCGCACTCAAGACCCTTCCCCAGAGCTGGTTCCTCTAACCACAAGATCAGCGTTCCGAGCCCCGGAACGGCCCGCCCACGGCGCGCTCATTGGTCTGGCTGCACAGGAACTGCTGCGCCATTGGACACAGTCTAGGTCGCTAGGCGCTGCGGCCACGCGAACCCCACACGGAGAAGGCGAAGCCGGTTCAAACCGGCGGCGCGAGCCAGCCGCGAGACCCCGCGGTTCTGGGCTGTTACCTCCGTAATTAGCCTGTTTCCATAAAGGCAGGTCCCCAGCCCTCTCTCCCCCAGCTCCCTCTACTATTTGTCATCTCTTCTCCTCATCCGCCTGGTCTCCCTGAGCCCTTTCAAGTGCATCTTCTGCATCCCGCACCCTCGCCTCGGGCCGGGATCCCGGGAGGTCCAGCTCACCCGGCTCCTACTGGTGTGTGTCGGGCCCGCCCGGAGCCTTTTCTGTCCCCTTTTATTCCAGCCCTTTTATTCCGACCCTAAGATGAAAAGCAGTGCTTCCCGCTGATTGGCTGAGTAGGAGCTGGAAACAGGCGTTGACCAATCAGCAGCCACCCGCCCGCCCCCCGGCAAGCAGAAGCCGGTTCCGGCCGGACTTGGAGACAAACAAGAGAGTTGGGGCGGGCGGGCGAGCGGGCGGGGGTTGGGGTGGGGGGCTGGGGATCGCTAGGGGTTGTGCCTCGGTTCTGCTGTCTTGGAGTCGCAGCCGGGCCGGGAATCCCCGGGAGCTTTGACCCTAGCCTCCCCAGACGCTGTCCGGAGACCTGACGCTGGGCCGATCGCCTGTCTCGGCGATCTTCCGTTCCCCGAACTTCCCCGGCAGCACGGCGGTCCCTCTCTTTAGCCAGCTGGGCTCCTGCCTCCGTTCCGCTCCGGCCTGCTCTGTCGTACCCGGTTCCCCCGCGCCCAGTGCGCCACGCCCGGACGCGATGGCTCCCCACGGAGCTGGTCAGCTCTGGAGGCACCCCACCCCGCCTCCTCCCCACCCCGTGTTGCAGCCCCTGCTTCCCTGATCTTGTGTCCTGGTTCCCAGCTGTTCTGTGTCCGGTGGTCCCGAACCGGGTGCATTGTGAGGGTTTGGGATCCGGGGCTCCTGTCCTGGTGTGATGTAAGTCTTCCCTGCTTTTCAGATTCGTAGGTCCTTTCCCCTCTCCTAAGTGTCACCGGCCTGTTCATCATAACTGTACCCTGAAGATCTTTATACAGGACTTTGGGGCTTGTCTGTCCCGTGTGAGGACGGTGTCTCCTCTGGTCCTCAGACTTTGGTCCCCCCCTGCCCCGACCCCGCTCCTACATTGCTCAGTCCCCATGGGAACCCCCTACCCAGACAAGAGCTCCCTGCCCTTCTTCCCTGTTCCCCAATGTCTCCTTCAGGTGAGAGTTTTCTTTGCAAAGCGTCGCTGCGAATGATGTCAAGCTGTCAGTTTGGCCCCAGAGGGTGCACGGGATTTCCAGGGACCTAGAGGACTCTGGCTTGTCTGTATACCTGCTGCCAGGGCAGGCAGAGGGAGCCACAGTTGTGAAAACTCAGCTGTCTGGTTACATCTTCCTGGTCACAAGTCCTAATTTAACCTCAGAAGACTCCTTCGCCCCAGATTCCTTACACTATGGAAGCTGCTTGACCCCTGGGCCCGGAGTCCAGCAGCTTCCTGCTCCACTTCCCTCAGTCCGCGTGCGCCCCCTGCTGTCCGGAGCCCGCCGCTGACCACCCTGCCAGGGTGTCCTTGCCCAGACAGGGAGGGAGAGAGGCCTGTGGGTTTGCCGGGGTCCTAGCCGGTTACCTGGCCCGTTACTCATCCACTTTAGGGTCTTAAGTTGTTACTTGACAAATTCCCAGCCCCTCTCCGGTCTTCCATAATGCGACTGCTCAAGGACCTCTCCAGGCCTCCAACATTTAAATAATGCACTGTCTCCCTCAAAACTGTGTTGTCATTCTCCCTCAATCACCTTTATCCACTGAAGTAGATCTTCCAACAAATATTTGCTGGACACTTGCTGTGATTCTCCCCTCTCCTCCACCTCACCCCCCTCCACCACTACAGCAATGTCTCCAGTTTATTTTAGCCATTTATGTTCTGTATTTCAGTCTCTGTTTCCCAAGTCTAACTCTTCAGTCCATCCTAGTGAGCTATGAGAAATATTAATCTGACCTTGTAAGCCTGGCCTCTACCAAAATCCTTTAGAAACGACCTTTTGTTCTGCAAGATGAAGTTCAAGTTCTCCAATCTGACCCCACACTGGCTCTTCCCCACTAACCTTTTCTCCCTTCTACAGGCAGTTTGCCCTGCGTGATCCTAGAAGCTCCACTCAGATGAAATTACCTGTGGTTCCAGTTTCACTCTTCTCTATCCTCTGGTTCTCAGCATAGCTCTTTTTGGGACAGCATCTCTTCTGGGAAGCCTTCCTTAGCCACTCTCCAGGATTTCCTTAGCTATCCATGTCCATTGATTGCATTGTTTTGTAATTATTCATCTGCGTGCATCTCCCCTTTTCCAATGACTATAAATTATTTTGGGGCAGGAATATGTCTTACTCAGCTTTGCATAAGCAGCCCTTAATACTGAAGTATGAACAAAGCAAGTACGTAATATGAGTTTGTGAATGGAAACACAAGTGAAAGTGTTAAAAAAATTATCTGGTTCAAAACTAGGAGCTGGTGGCTCACACCTGTAATCCTAGCTACTCGGGAAGCTGAGATCTAAGGATTGTGGGTTGAAGCCAGTCCAGTCAGGAAAGTCCTTGAGACTTTTTTTTTTTTTGGTAGGTCCTGGGACCTGAACTCTGGGCCTGGGTGCTGTCCCTCAGCTCTTCAGCTCAAGGCTAGTGCTCTACCACTTAAGCCACAGCACCATTTCTGCCTTTTTCTGCTTATGTGGTGCTGAGGAATCCAACCCAGGGCCTCATGCATGCAAGGCAAGCGCTCTACCACTGAGCCACCTTCCCAGCCCGTCCTTGAGACTCTTATCTCCACTAAACTACCAAAAAACACAACAAAACAAACAAGTGTAGTTGTGGCTCAAGTGATAGACCACTAGCCTTGAGCAAAAAAAGCTCAGGGAGGGGCTGGGAAGGTGGCTCAGTGGTAGAGCACTTGCCTTGCATGCCTGAGGCCCTGGGTTCCATTCCTCAGCACCAAATAAGCAAAAAGAAAAAAGCCAGAAGTGGTGCTGTGGCTCAAGTGGTAGAGCTCCAGCCTTGAGCTGAAGAGCTGAAGGACAGTGCCCAGGCCCAGAGTTCAGGCCCCACTACCGGACCAAAAAAAAAAAAAAAGAAGCTCAGGGACAATACAAAGTCCCTGAGTTCAAACCCTAGGACTAGCACACAAAAAAGAAAAAGAACAAGAAAAGTATTTTGTTCAGCTAGGCGTGAGTGTTCATGCCTGGAATCCTAGCTACTCAGGAGGCTGAGCTCTGAGGATCAAGGTTCCAGACTGAGCTGGACAAATCCAAAAGATTTTTTTTGGGGGGGGTCCGGTCGTGGGGCCAGAACTCTGGGCCTGGGCGCTGTCCCTCAGCTCTTCAGCTCAAGGCTAGCACTCTACCACTTGAGCCACAGCGCCACTTCCAGCTTTTTTTCTTTTTGCTTATGTGATGCTGAGAAATCGAACCCAGGACCTCATGCATGCAAGGCAAGTACTCTACCACTGAGCCACCTCCCCAGCCCTCCAAAAGATTTTTATCTTCAGTTATCCCCCCTCCTCCCCCAAAAAAGCCTGAAGCAGCTCAAGTGGTAGGGCACCAGCTTTGATTGAAAAAGCTAAGGAACAGTGCCCAGGCCCTGAGTACAAGCCCCAGTACCAGCACACAAAAGAAATAGGTTCTTGGACCAAGATCCAGAATTGGAGGATGATGTCAGTACTAGTAATAATGACATCTTAAAAAAGTTTTTATTTAGTTTATGTGGTACCAAGAAATCAAACCCAGGGCCTCATGTATGTTAGGCAAGCACTCTACTACTAAGCCCTATCCCCAGCCCTTACTGGCCCTTTCTTGAAGGCTAAACATTTAATAGGTGCCTTAATCTTTGTGTCATTCAATCCTACAACCACTAGGGGAGAAAGGCCCTTATTCCATTTTCCAGGTGAAAAGCTAAGGCTTTAAATGACTCTCCTAAAGACAGACAGACAGACAGACACAGACAGACACAGACACAGACACAGACACAGACACAGACACAGACACACACACACACACACACACACACACACACACACACACACACACACACACACACACACCCCTAACACCTGGCATTTGAACCCAGATCCACCTAAATAAAACTTTATTTTTTTTTCATCAGGTGTGTCAAGACCCCAACACAGCATTGTGTAAAAGTCATAAAGAATGGAAGTATTGCTTGGTTCTAAAATAAAACTAATCGCAATTAAGATCTTTGAACAAGAAACAGTGCCAGTGGTCCACACCTGTACTAGCTACTCAGGATGCTGAAATCTGAGGGTCAAGGTTCAAAGGCAGCCTCAGCAGAAAGTCTGTAAGACTCTTATTTATTGTAAATTAATTTACTTTACTATTGTTATAAAGGTGATGAGGGTACAGAGGGATTATAATTACATGGGTCAGGTACTGAGCACATTTCCTTTCATACAGTATTTTCTATTCTCTCATTCTCTCCCAGTTGACTCTTATTTAATAAAGTATCTGGTTCCGGCTGGGAATATGGCTTAATGGTAGAGTGCTTGCCTAGCATGCATGAAGCCCTGGGTTCAATGCCTCAGTACCATATAAACAGAAAAGGCTGGAAGTGGCACTGTGGCTCAAGTGGTAGAGTGCTAGCCTTGAGATTTAGAAGCTTAGGGACAGTGCCAAGGCCCTGAGTTCAAGCCCCAGGACTGGCAAAAAAAAAAAAGTATCTGGTTCAGCTTGGCACGAGCTCATGCCTGGAATCCTAGGAGGCTGAGAGCTGAAGATCAAGGTTCCAAGCCAGCCTGAGCAGACAAATCCAAGAGACTCTTATCTTCAATTAACCCCCACCCCCATCCCCCCAAAAAAGCCTGGAAGTGAAGCTGTGG